GGTGGGCTGTGAAATGTGTCCGCCGTACGACCAAGACAGACCCAAGAGGAAAACGAGGCGTTGGTATGCGTTTGTGCCGCTTCAACGCAGGTGGGATTACTGTCAGCTCAACACAGGAAAGAACAAAAATAAGACAGATGTTGCTGGCTGTAGATACACAAGGAAGCCCCGATGGTTGCCGAAGGAAGGAAGAGGGTTTAGCAAGAAGTTCTTCAGCAGAAGGAAGTGGCAGGACAGGGGATGATGCCTTCAGTTAGTCTAATCCACAGGTAGGTTGCATATATGGGATCACCGAAGAATCCTGAATCAAGGCTTTGCCCGACTTGGGAGAAATGCGTGAGAAGGAACTAAGATCGTTGTACATGTACAAAGTGCAGCAGCAGGGCTGGGGCCAATGCTTGGTAGAAGAGAAGGAGCTATCCGCAGTTTGGGTCTTGGGGGCATGAACAAGATGCCTGTAGCGGGCGGCATGCGGATGAACCGAGGGAACGTAACTTTTTCCTTGGTTCCTCCTTTTTGGGGCCCTTGGTACTATTTTTTCTTACTCGCATTCGTCCCTTTGCTGAGAAAGACCGAGTTCCTAAGGGTAACACAAGATATCCAGGTCTTGTGTCCCCACCGAGCTGTGACCAGGGGGTCGTTCAGGCCCATTGTTCTGTGTACAGGTACGAATACGCTGTTTGGGGTGCATACTACTTACTTCGTACACAAGGAAGGCCATCTGATGATGGGATTCCATGGTCAGCCCCTCGAGAAGCAAGCAAGGATTCATGTGTCCATGGAAAGTGGGGGTACGACGGGGCGTTTGCCAGCATCGTTCAACGACTGTTGTCGTTGGTCGAGAGTCGAGAGGGGAGGCCCAGTCTAGATGTTGGAAAAGACGTATCTCCAAAAAACGAGACTGAACAAAAAACGCTGTTCGGCACAGACCAAGAATAAGGCAAGGCTTCTGATCCGAAGGAACGAACACGACTAATCAAATCCCATTAATATCACGCCATTAAGATCACCTTGGGGCGAAGGCAACAAAACCAAGGACACTCCACTACCTTAAAGGACCAGCCGTGCGGAACCTGCGCGCTAACAAGCAGCAAACCTTACATCTCGGTCTTGGGTTGCCATATTTCTCTTAGCTCAAAAGCTGTCAGGCCTTGGCGTCGTCGTTGTTCATTTTCGAAGACTTCGGTAAACTCACAAAGGACATGCTGGCAGGGGTTATGAAGGGAAGGGCAGGGCAAAGCCAAGGCACGAAAGTCCGAAGGCTGCGCTTCCATGGGCCGCATGGCGGTCATTTCTTGCGAAAAAAGGCAAACGAATGATTTTCCCACAGAATTTACCGCCCCGGTTCCTCACGCGCGAAAAAAAAAAAAGGTGGTTCCCACTCGAGTGCAAATATTTATTTGTACTTTGCAGTTTGCATGTCCACAGCACAAGCAAGCAGCTTGCTAAGATTCCGCAAGATACCGCAGCGAGCATACGCAGTATGCACCGACTATGGCGCGGCTTTCTTGGCGTTGGATTGCGGCTTTTCGAAAGTTGGAGTTGCATTCGGGTCGACGTGAGGTTCTTGGACATAGTTGCTTTCCATTGGGTGGATCGGCATGCTTTCGCTTCTGGTGCATTTGGACGAAGATCGAAGCGGCCTTCTCCAATCATGCTTGTCGATTAATTTAGAAGCGTAGCCCCTGGTTCTTAATTATGGGGAGCCGAGAGTTCGGGCAGGGATGATGCGGGAAGTACCTGTTCATCGGAAAGTAGCGTTTTATTATCACTATGATTATCAAACTTTGTAACCCTATCTAAACCCCCAGAGAGCAAATCAAAACTCAATCTACCCAAAACCGCCCGAACCCGCGCATCACCCAGGCCCGACTAGTTCACGACTCTCTTTTCATCGTCAACCCTGTCTATCAAAACCAGCCGAAGTGCTCGAGGATAAAGGGGACCGGCCTGGAGAAAAAGCGAACAAGAAGCCTTTCGTCAGCGCTGAATTTCTGGAAAGAGTGGGGAACTCGGTCTACCGCGGGGACATAGGCAGCAACAGGCTTAAACTTACTGGAGTCTTGCGGTCAACCCACATCGGGTCCAAAGCGAAGGAGAATTCGCGGACCAGCTGGATCAGGGTGGTCCTCATTTCCAACATTGCGAATTTCTCTCCGAGGCACGCGCGTTTGCCTGAGATAGAGTCAGCAGGTCCATCATGGTAGAATGATTCACCACTCTTTCTTTGGAGTCTGTCTTACCACCATGAAAGCTGATCCACTCCCCCCTTACCCGACGGCGGCGGTAGTTTTGCTGAATAACTTCTGAGGATGATCCCCACCTGCAAACATGAGCCTCACGATATTTCAAAGGATGTGCACTTGTGAGACGAACCGTCCGGGGTCAAACTTGTCTGCTGTGGGACCCCACGCAGTCGGGCATCGGTTTGTTGAGTAGCAGTGGTAGCCGACATATGTCCCTTTTGGGATTACGACGTCGCCGCCTAGCAGCGCCGTCTCCGCAGCCTTCCGGTTGATCAATTGACCAATGGGAGGGAACAAGCGCAAGCACTCGTAGATGAGCGAGGTGAGATACGGCATGTCTTCTTTGGCCAGATCTGCTGAAGACTTGGCATCCTTGGAAAGGATTTCTTGGCGCAAAGCCTCTTGCGCCTCCTAACCCCCCACCAGTCTTGTCAGCAACGAATGCACGCGTGAGACGGCACGGGCCTGGGCAGGTTTGCTGACTTACAGGATGTTTCGCCAAAAGATACAGGCTCGATATCATGAGCAGCTGTGGGTTCTCTTGACCGGCCACGAATGACACGGTGAGGTTGTCGAGGAGCTGCTTCTCATCCCACATGCCCGATGCTCTGGCGTCGAGCATGCGCTGGCCTAGTTTGTCGTCGGATTGGTCTGACAGGGATGATGTCTTCTCCATGGGCATGTGGTGGCTCGCCTGCAGCGCGCGTTTGAGCTCGTTCTTGAACAGGCCCACAGTGCGTCGGGCCGCCAAGCGAGACTTGAGCGGCAACCTGTCGAGGAATGGAAAGCTCATAAAGATGGGCTTGAAGATCTCCCTCTTGACCGCCGTCTGGAGGAGATTGATAGGAGCATCTGCCCTGTCGAGTGCCTACGACGAATCGGCTGCGGTCAGCACGCTGCGAAACACCCCTGCTAGATTCGGTCTTGTCGTGGGGGCCAGGGCGACTTACATGCAACTTCGTACCCAAGACGGCTTCGGTGAAGTTGGAGACGGAATACCGCTGCAACAGGTCCTGCACAGCAACGCCACCGCCTCCGCTGCCGGCCCGCTTTTGGGATTCACGAAGGAGACGGCACAGGCTGACTGCGTTGCTTTCGATGATTTCGCCATCGAAAGTCCTCTGGAGGCCTGGCTTGATGACCGACCGATAGTTCTTCCAGACGTCGCCTCTTGCCGAGATAATATTGTCGCCTGTTTCCGAGTTAGAATTTTTCGAAGCACCAAGGGTGGCAAAGAACACTTACCAAGGAACTCTGCCAGGACGCTGTGTGGGATTTTCTTCTGGTTGCCGCTCTTCTCGTACAAATCCTCGTCTTTGAATATTTCAACCAGATACGAGGGACGATGTACCAAGATGTTCCATTGCGCGCCAAAGAAAATTTTGACTGCTCCATGAGTACGCAGCGGCTTGTCGATGTACTGACGGAAAATGTCCGACTGGTCAACGTCCTTGAAGAAGGGAATGAGGGCTACCCAGAACGGTATCGCCGGGATGTTTTGCGGGTATCTAGGAGGCAAGAGAAGAAAGTAGTAAACGAGTCCAAGGAGCAGCGCTCCGAGGAGTAAAACCTCTAGCAAAAATAGTAGCATCTCGTCGTGAATGGCGTCTGCAATTACGGTGTAAGTCAAAGCTGCGACAAAGAAATAACAAGCTTATATGTTCAAGGGCCGATGTTCCGAGGAAGCGAGAAAGAGCAAAAAGCAACGGTAGCACTTACAAGGGTCAAGATGAGACCATCGACAAGACGGAAGCAGTCTTCCTTCCTTCTCCTCAGCCCTACTCAAAGTAAGGTAGCAGAAGCTCTAGCTGCCTAGAGATGACATGCAGGAAAAGGCTAGAAGACAGGATTAGGAATCACGGTCAGGTAGGTATGAATAGAGGCTTCGTCGTCTTCTCGAAATAGACCGCATATGCGCGTTGGTGAAGGAACATGGAACATTGCGTTTGTGCCTCCGAGACATCAGACGTTCGTCGTACAAATTTGTCTGCAGACCTGAACTACAGTCAGCGGCACGCCGGGCTGTGCGATGCCCGGCGCATCGGTCAGTCGCACCAGACAAAGTCAAGGACAAAAGGCCACATCCTTGGGAAGGTTCATTGGCCGCCAAGCGGGCCTGATGCGAGTTGTGATGCCAAGAATGACCAGACAAGGAATGGAGGAAGCAGAAGATGCAGTGAGAGAAAGAGAGTTTGATGAGGTTCTCTGGACTTTCCCAAGGCGGGTTGGCGTAAAGTTGACCGGGGACGTGCCTTCAGGTACGTATTGCGACCGTAGAGGTACCGGTACTTTGGGCGGAGCCTCCCCGCCAGGGAACTGCGGCAGTGCCCCGATGAGGATCCAGCAAGAGCTGACCGAGTGGGCCGGCGTTGGACGGACCCTTCCTGATCACTGCCTTTGACCTGGACGGAGTACGTTACTACCTTGCGTGTAAGACTGAGAATGGCTCGCCCAAGAAGCCAGGGGTTTATTAAATGGACACTGAATCGTTCATACATACATTGCCTTTCCTAGTGTCCGTACACAGGATCAGAAACAACGGTAATCACCGGAGCAGTGCTGCTTCATTTTATCGCTTTCTGACTTTTGACCGCCGAGTTTCTCTATCTTACTCCTTCGTGCCCGTGGGCCAGCTTCCGAGTCTCTAGTTTTGAGTATCATTTCTGCATCGCTTTGTTCGAATATTCTTTGTCAAAGATGGTTAACTCCAGTCCATCAACTTCGGGCACGACGACGCCCACTAAAGATCACATAATGTCTGCACAGGAGGTGTCGGCCCCGGCTAACACCAGCACGACCACTGCCAGCCAGCCGCCGCCGCCGTCGCCTCCAGCCCAGTCCGCCGGGGATCCAGAGAAGAAAGCCGGTGCCCCGCCGGCTTACTCGGCCTTCTCGCCATGGCGAAAGCGCTTCATCCTCATCGTTGTCACCGTGGCCGGGTGTTTTGGGCCTCTGGCCGGCAACATCTACCTCCCTGCTCTGCCTACCTTAGAGAATGAATTCCACGCGAGCGCGACGGCCATCAACGTTACCGTATCCGTTTTCATGCTTACCTTCGCCTTCGGTGTATGTTCCCCAGCCTTTTCGGAACCCATACTCAAGATAGTACATGACACTTACACTCCACCAGCCTCTATTCTGGGCCAGTTTCGCCGATTGGAAGGGCAGGAGACCACTGTACATCATCTCTCTCTCCATCTATATTGTTGCCAATATTCTTCTGGCTGCAGTACCAGCCAACTATGGCGCTCTTGTATTTCTTCGTATCGTCCAGGCCTTTGGGTCTGCGGCCGTGGTGTCGATGGGCGCAGGCACTGTCGCCGATGTAAGTTCCTCGAGAGAATTCACCACACACCAACAGCTCACATTACTAACCCAATTCTCAGGTCACTCCACCCAAAGAGAGAGCATTCGCAATGAGCATCTTCCTCCTAGGCCCTCAGCTCGGCCCTGTCCTCGGCCCAGTGATAGGAGGCGCGTTGACGGTGGCATCATGGCGCTGGATATTTGGCTTCCTTGGTGAGCCTTTCCATCCTCCCAGCCCGTATCAAACAAAACCATACTAATTATACTCCACAGCCATTGCCGGATTCGTGCTCTGGATCATCATCTTCCTCATGCTTCCAGAGACTCTGCGCGCCAGGGTAGGCAGTGGCAAGCTCTACTCCCAGTCTAGCTTCATCCTCTTCCCTCCAAAGCTGTCTTCGCCTCTGGCACCAGAATCGGAGAGAGGTCCCCCGCCTCCCAAGCCAACTCTGCTCATGTACTGGCGTCTCTTCAGCTACCCACCCATCGGCATCGTGTCCTTCAACACCGCCATGCTCTACTCGACCTACTTTGCTATCGCAGTGCAGCTGCCCACTGAGCTCGCCGACCGCTACAACTGGTCCAGCGCAGGCGTCGGCGCCGGTTTCATCGCCGTCGGCGTCGCCATGATTGCGGGTTCCTTGATAGGTGGACGCTTCTCGGATTGGCGGAGAGCGCGCGCAGTCAAGGCGTCTCCTGACAACACCGTCGATCCCGAAAATAGACTTGCAGACCAGATTTGGGGTGTCATTGTTTGCGCCGGTGGATGTGCCATGTACGGGTGGTTCGTCGACATCTCACTCCACCCCGCCGCCGTTCTAGTTGCCACTTTTCTTAGTAAGTTCTTGTACGACATTGGGAAAGACGTTTATGTTTCTGCTTCCCATCTCACGTGAACCCGAGACTGACGTGTGTGACTCTGGTACAGCCGGCTTCGGGATGAACTGGGTATTTGTGGCCACGACGGCCTTTTTGACCGAGTGCGTGGCCCAGCAGGCCGCAGGCGCCTTTGCGCTCGGGAACATGCTACGGAATCCCGGTGCTGCCATCGCCGCCCTTGTGATCCCTTCTCTCGTCTCCAAGATGGGAAGTGGATGGTGTTTCACAGGACTCGCATTGTTGGACTTGGTCCTTGTCGGGTCTGCTGTAATAGGTTAGCCCACCCTTAGTCGCGTCTTGGAAAGCTTGTATGCTAATGGTGTGTCTCACAGTACTACGAATTAAATCTCCGGGATGGAGGGCAGCCCGCAAAGCCAAGATGGTGGCGATGGCGGCAGCCAAGCAAGGTGGGCCGAAATGAGTTTGACGAACAATGACGAGCGTCAATGGGACTAGAGCGCAGACGCTCATGAAGGAGAGTCTAACATAATTACTGTCTAATGTTTATGCAAAATTGATAATGTTCAATCTAAATGATCAACGCAAGTTTGACTCAACGAGTTTTTGTATTATGCAAGATGATAGGTGGACTACTTCTCATACGTAGCAATAATTCTATCCGCCATCGCCGGCAGCGTCTCTGCCACAACGTCCATCTCACCGAAAATCTCTGGCAACGCCTCTCCCTCCAGAGCAGTGCAGTATGCCGCCTTGAATCTGCGAGATGTTAGCGAGTCCAATACAACACAAAGATTAGTGAACAAGTAGGTCGACTTACCCCACAGTCTTCGCCGTCGACGCATCCCACAAATGCGCCGCCGCAAACCAAGGCTCGCACCCATCAGCAGACAACTTCTTCAAAATAGGCGTATACGCCTCGGGAGTCGGCTTCGCCAAGCCAGACGAATCGCACGAGAGCAAGTTCTCAACAGGCATCTCGACCCCGCCCCTCGAGAAGTAGCCACCGACGCGGGCGATGTCGCCCGCCGTGAAGCACCACACCGTAAAACCCGCGGCGCGGAGCTTCGCCACGCACTCGGCGGCGCCTTCGCGCAGTCGCAGGCTCTTCCACTCGCCAATGAGGTAGTCGACGTCCTCGTCGCTCGCGAAGGCGCGCGGGTCCTCGATGCCGGCGTAGTGCAGGCAGCGGTAAAAGAGGGCGGTGAAGACCTTGTAGAAGACGACGTAGCGGCCCGACATGGAGAGGTAGGTGTACTCGCGCTCGGCGACCTCGAGCCAGCAGCAGCCGAGGAGTTTTGGCTGGATGCCGCGGGCGCGGAGGCGTTCGCCTAGGCGCTCGTCGATTGCTTCGAAGAGGTGCTCGTATGTGACGAGGGTACCGACTACGTCGAAGACGACGTTCTTTGGTGGTGTCATTGTGGGGGTTGGCTGATGTGTGTTGCGTGTGTGTATGTGTGTGTGTGTGAGAGAGTGCTGTTCCAAGGATGCCCGAAAGAGGTAGGTTCGGGGATGATTATTGGATGGTTACACGATGCAAGGGGTTGATTCAGGGTGTGTCTGTTGGTCCGAAAGGTCTATGCCAACATGATGATGTAGATTAAATATGAGGCTTATCACGAGGCGTTGCATGGGTCGCGCCTTTATGGAAGGCTGGGCTTCATCTTGGAGATTTAATGTTGTCTCCCCGCACGTGTAACGAAGTGCGGGGAGTTCAGAACAGGCATCACGCAGGTAGAGTTTCCGGCGCCGATTCCCGGTTCCCTATCGACTCTTTTGATATTCGAGTGGGCCTCTTTGCCGGAAAGGATACACGGGTTGTTGCTTGGGGGAGGAAAACGTTATCAGGCTTGTTGTATCTACTGGGATACAGCGGATGCTGGGATGCGACTGTGAACGTTACAAGGGGACTCGAGGAAGAAGCGCCGGCCCGGTGCACTCCCACGTGTGCTGATGCTTTGCTGGCCGAATAGCCCATGGCTGTAGGGAATGCAAAAGACCAGCCATGGGTGGTATTCACACCGACGATGTGGAACATTGCGGCGGACGAATCCGACGCTAGACCGGTCAACAATCTGGGGAAGTTGAGCTTGGCGATAGAAGGAAGTCAAGTGGACGTAAAGTGGAGACAAACCGCTCAGTCTATTTCGTATCTGGACAGCTCATCGCCCAGGGAATTTTAATAATGAGTAAATTTCGCAGGACATCCTGCATTACGTTTGCCAGACGGTTATCTCGAACGCCGGAGCCGGCCTCATATACATACGGTTTTCCGGCAGCCAGTTTTGTCGCCGGTGTTTGGTTTGCCTTACCCGGCTTCTTATCGAGTCAACTGATATGCGGTTAAAGACGACAGAGGGGCTGTGGGGGTGGAGACTGGGGACCTTTGTCGGATGCAACGCCAAAACGGAAAGATAAGGACGGACAATGGATGTCCGAAGTGACGGATCAAAGCCGCTATCGGTATGGTTAGGCCGGAGAAGTCATTGACAATGTACTCCGTACAGAACACTCAATTTCTCGAGAGAAATACTTACCGAGAATCATTTTTGATGGAGCATCAATAAAATAAAGTGAACTCATTGCTCAGGTAGTTAGCTGCCGTAAAGAACTTCGACAGAGCATTTCCGAAAATTTCATTCAAAATAGAGAGTAAAAACAGTACATGTCTATCAAATTGCTCAGTTATTCATTGTGCTTTAAAAATAAAGATAAAAGTTTATGGATTAACAAGTCACCTTATTGTGTTTTAATTTATTTTCATTTAATAAAATTGACAACTGTCTAGTTGCAAAGCGCCCTTACATAGAGCGCAAAATCTATTCGAGTTCCCAAATAAAGCATATCATATACAAGATAGGTTATCAGAAAACATAAACATTGAGTTAGTGTCTGGTGAGGAGATTGATGGAATATATTGTTATGATAAAGACTCGCTAGATTATATGAGATATCTCAAAACTAAGCCGATTCGTCTTGGTATCCACTAAGACCTATGCAAATGATGGTGCTTAACATGCTCGAGGCTCTTTCCGGAAAATGTCTACGCTACAACGGCTAATCGAACCAATGACTACAGGATTTACAACAAGGTCAACTTTGGTGGGTATGCTCCCTGCAATGCGCCTCTAATATGACACTTTACATGAAATTAACCGACTCTACAGTTTTGCCGGCGGCTGATTGACCGACTTCCAGCTCTCAAGAATGGAATTCCTGGAACTGTCCAATCTCGCTTGAGAAGCCTGGTAGACTTTGGGGATACCCGTAGTCTTGAACTCGGACTGCTCCATAATCATCGATGCTACTCCCTTAGCCGAGAGGAAGATCTGCGGCATGCCATGGCCGTTGAACCCGGCAATGATGAATTGTTTCTCTTTTCCGGGAACGACGCCGACGTGCGGCAATCCGTCTGATGAGTATCCCATGACTGTATTGTTGTCAGTCACTGAAATCATATTTCGAGTCCGGCTGAATAGGGGCCAATTAACTTACTTCCGGTCCACACCTTTGACGTAGTCGCACCGCTGTCTTCCCATCCGCGGAACACACGCTGCATATATCCATCAAAATGCGTCTTCGCCGCCTCAATCAACTCGTCATCGTTGACCTTGTTATACCACGCCGATAAATCATGATAATACGAGGACCGCGCACCGCCGACGACGATGCTTCCGTCGAGTCGGGGAATCAAGTACTCGTACTCCGTGTCGGACCAGCGGATGATGACCGAGTGAGGCAGCAATGGCGCAGGCGTCTTGCCGGGCGTGATGTGGCTGCAGATGCCGCGAACGGGGACAATCTTGTCGGCGAACTCGGGCAGGATGGACGACGTGTAGCCGTTTGTCGCGTACACGATCTTTGCGGCACGGACGGCGCCCCGCCCCGTGGTCAGCGTCAGGTAGCCGTCCGCGTCGGGGGTGCCGGTCACCGCCTCGACGGGCGTGTGGGTCTGCAAGTTGACGCCGGCGTCGAGGGCCTTTGAGAGGAGGGCCAGGATTAGTTTGTATGGCCAGACGGTACCGGCGGTATATGATAGGCATCCCTTTACTCCCTTAACACCTGATAGCTGGGGGTAAACAGTTAGTCGCTGAGTCTAAAGCGCAGGCCGCAGCTCAACTTACTTGCTCCGCTTCGGCGCCGTCGGCGTAGTACACGTCCTTCATTACGGAAACGCCAGCTTTCCTAAGCAACTCAACGTTTGCCTTCATCTTATCGCGGATACTCTCTGACATCAAGGCATCGACTGCCCTAGTCAATACAAAGTCACAGTCAATGCCTTCGGCTTCAATGGTCTTCTTCACTTCCATGAGGTTCTTGGCCTCGAACTCCGCACATTCCTTCGCAGTCTCGATGCCATGTGTGGAAACGAAACTTGCGGGACGATTGTACGGATCCGGCTTCAGATGGCCGCCTATACCATATCTCAAGTCAACAAGGAAGCTCAATTGAGAAGACATGACAATGATGGGGCTGTCAGACATACCATTGCGTCCAGTTGCCCCGGAACATGCCTGTCGGGCCTCAAGGATCAAAATCTTTGGCGGCGCAACACCACGCGCCTTGCACTGGTCGAGGATGTGGTATACCGTAGCAACACCTGCATAGCCTGCACCAATGACTGCAATGTCAACTTCGGCTGGCAGCTCCGGGGTAGACCGGTGATCATCTAGAGGGTGCGGGGATGACCTCCAGAAGGAGGTCGTGGAGTTTGGGACGGGGAGCGGGGAAACGGGCATGGCTGTGTGACAGGGTGTGTGTTTGTCCTTCTTAGGGGAGAATCAAACACGAGATGTTGTGAGTGACTGTTTTCAGCTGCACGAGATAGAAGTGGGAGACCAAGCCGCCGCGCCCGCCGTTATAATTAAAGGCTCAAAAGCCTCGAGCGCGGATATTCCATCACGGTCCGCACCAAGTAGGCGAGCGCCGGGGGTGGGGCGGGGCCGGGACGGGAAACCTGTCGGGAAAGCTGTTCCGTCCGGTGAGCGGACTCAATTGTGCCTCCTTACTACCTTACTCGTAAAGTCAAGGAGGGCCAGGGAGGGGACCGAAATGTTCAAAGGGTAAAACAATTGACCGGCCCGGTCGTTTGCGGGGAACCCCCGTTTGGGTATGCGTTTCCGTAAAGTTTATCAGCAGCGATCCTTCAATTCTCGGCCTCTTTAAAGCCCATTCAGATAATCCTCCACCACCTAACCCAGGACAGCGGTTGCAGCACAACCCTTTAGAGTTATCGACCGGCCCGGTCAGGATATTGGGATTAGAACTCAGGCGCGAAAAAAGGCCCGCTCTTCCCATGTGTGTCCCATACATATCCCAATCCCTTGCGAGCATGACGCTGCTTATCTGCGTATCTCCATGTTGGGGTGGCTGACAGATAAACCGGGGAAGCACCAACTACCGATAACCACGATAAGCCTTTACTGGCTCGGTGAGACTGGGCAGGCCCCGGAAGATAGGTAGACAAACTGACACAGTAATCAAGCAGTAGGTCTACGAATCGAACTGTCCAACATGGCTGTACCCAGTGATCCTTACCCAACCCCAGAATGGAAACCATCATCCGCACTGACTAGTTGAATGGCTCTCTGGCAAACTACAGCCATCCTGGAATGAACCAATGGCAGCCTCTCTAATGATATGACAACACCCCTATATACAGGCCAATGCCAGGCCCATCGACTCATCCCCAGACTCGACACCCGCGGTCTCTAGCACGTCTCCAGTGCTCTCTTCAAACACCATGGCAACTACACAGACAAAGGACGACACCAAGATCCCCGAGACGACTAGCTATCCCGAAGCGACTGACCATGCCGCCGGCACCAGCTACGTGTACGATGAGGGCGCCGTCGAGAACGTCGACGAGGCCTACCTCCGGGCCTCCAAGTCGACGAAGTTCTACAGAGGCGTGTTGTTCCAGATGATCCTTTTTGGAGCGTAAGTAAAACTTGTCTTGGGACAAAGTCCCGAAATCACGGATTCGAATTTAATGTATTCATGTAGGCTGTCCTTCGTCGGTCCTGCCATGTCGGACGCCATCTCTAACCTCGGGGGTGGTGGTCTCTCGACACCATACTTGGCCAACTTGGCGACTGCCCTCAGCTATATGGCCGGCTGTCTGATCACCGTATTTGGCGGACCTCTGATCAACAAGATTGGAATCAAGTGGTCTTGTATGATCGCCGCCGTCACCATGCCTCTTGCTGGTTCGGCCTACTATGTGAGCGCAAAGTACTCGATAGACTGGTATCTTCTCTTTGCAAGAGTACGTCATACCCCTTCCTGCACTCTGACTATGTCGCTCTGGAGCTAAGTTGATACACAGCTCCTTGGGGGGTTCACATCTGGTTTCCTCTACGTCGCCGAGACGGCTGCCATGCTGTCGTATCCGGAAGCAAACGACAGAGGTTTCTACCTGGGTAAGGAAGGTTCTGGGAGCTCTTTGGGTATGCTTGTGTTAACAAAGTTGGACAGGTATCTGGTCTGCCATGAGAAACTCTGGCAGTGTCATGGGAGGCGCCATCAACTTCTCGACCAACTACTCCAAGGCCAATGCTGGTGGTATCGCGTGGTCCACTTACTTGATCTTCGTCGGCTTCGGTAAGCACCCTTCGCCCCATGCCCAAAACCGACTTGGCCCATGTTCTAACACGAATCCCTGACAGAATGCACTGGAACGATCTGGGCTCTCCTCCTATCTCCCACCAGACGCGTACGACGTCGCAACGGCGCAAAGATCCCCATGGCCAGCAGCATCAGCTGGAAGAGAGAACTCATTGCGTTGTGGAGACACTTGCAGCGCCCAAAGGTGAGCACAGCCAGTCAACCCCTAATGACTTTGACGAAGTATTGACGGCCCAAACCCTTAGACATGGCTCATGTCCATCCCGGCCTTCTACTCCTTCTTCTTTGGCGGAACCATGGGCACCTATCTCTCTCTGCACTTCTCCGTCCGGGCCCGCGCACTTTCGTCGCTGATTACTCGTGAGTAACTCTCCTTCGTCTTTTGATCACTGTCATTTCCTGAATCAAGCTGACAATTGCATCTGATAGCGGCAATCACCATTGTCATGGTTCTCGCCTACGGAAAACTCTTGGACACGTCCCGCTGGTCACAAGCCCGGCGAGCGTGGATCTCTTTCTTCTTCTGGGTCATCCCCCAGGCCATGTGCTTCATCTGGATCGGCATCGAGTACAGCAAGTTCGGCGGAGGCAAGATCGAGGAGGCCCTCGACTACGAGTTGTACGTCATCCACTATCCCTGTGCCCCTTCTCTGACTCAAAGCATCGCTAACAGTATCGCTTCCCAACAGGCACACCAGAAGATGGGCCGAAGCTTACCTTCCCTATCTGATCATGTTTTCAACCGGTTACTGGACCCAATTGTCTCTCTACTGGATTCTCGGCACCTTCTCCACGGACGTTGGATCCTCTTCCCGCTCGGGTGGTCTGTTCCGCGCTTTTGAGACGGCCGGCCAGGCCGTCTCGTACGCTCTCAACTCCAAGACCAGCGCCGACCCTAGAATTCCTTTCTACGTTAATGCTGCACTGATGGCTATCACTATTCCTTGCATGGTATTCCTCATCAGGCTGGTTCCGGAGGCGCCTGCTTCAACGGACATAGATGCGGGAGATGTTGTTGAAGATCAGGCAGAACGGGACCCTGATAACAAATAGAACATGTCTGCTTTCTGACTTTACGGATTGAGAGCGTGGGATCGGCTGTTTCTATACAACGTTGAGGTACCATAGGAATGATGAAATGAAGCATTGACTACCTGAAGCCTCTGACACGCATCAACGCCCCAGTGAATGATTGTACAACACTTCTTGGTCTTGCAACAGTCTTATTGGAGCACACTTGAACACTTGATTCGCAATTCGCAACAGAATAAGGGGCCTTCAAGATATCCCGCAATTCGTAGGTTCTCTTTTGCAACACCCCACCCTTATAACTACTACTTTATTAATCAACCTTGGCCGTACTTAGAGAACGTTAAAGTCCAAGTTCACAGTTAGCGCATTTAGCTCGTTGTGTCATTTGCGGGCACACTTTTTTTTTCTTTTACTATGATCTTGACCTATACTGCTTGTCAGATTAACGAAGCCTTACTATTAGATTACGAGGTAGAAAAGGGACCTTATTAAGTAGTTAGGTAGGGGTGGTAAGTAGGTAGTCTAGGCCCGTGCAAACGGACCCTTCTACTTACTTATACCTATAGAGGAATCGCGGGCCCTACTTACGATCTTCCCCTCTTATATATATAATAAACCTATACTAACCTATTAACTTAGTTACAACTAAAAAGTCTAACTTACTTACGTATATATTAATATTAATTAGTAATTAAATTATATATATATTTTTATTATAAGTTAATAAGGATATAATTATAAAAAAAATAGCCTCGACTTATTTCGCTAATTATTTTAACTTATTAACTTAGTTCTATTTATTTAACTAATAATAAGCGGCCTAGTTTATATTATTTTAATTCTCCTCTATTATTACTAACTAATAACTAATTAATTAGTTATAAATTAATAAGAGCGCGCTCTATTACGTACGATCTTTTTTACCGAGGCTACTATTATAAAAAGATTAACTACTTTATTATTATTATTAACCTCGCTTTTATTATTAATATTATTTTTACTAACCTTATTATAATTATTAACTTCTTTTTAATTAAGCCGTTCGTAAAAGAATCTATTTTAAATATATTATAGCTAAGTACTACCTTAAACTAATAATAAGTAAAAAAAGATTAATTACTAAGAGATTAATTTAATAATTACTAGTATACTAGCGCTTAGTAATAATAAGACCTTTAGAATTATAAATATATTAATAATAATATTCTTTTATAAATAGTAAAGTATTCTAAAATATTAAAAAAAAAAAGATCTTAATAATAATAGCGATAAGGATCTATTTTATATTATTAGTAAATCTACCTCTTTTTAACCTAATAAAAGCTCCGAAACTAAACTAATAAAAATAAAATATAAAAAGTACTAAAAAGAATTACTAATTAGTAACTAATAAAATCCTCTATTTATTACTAAAAATATAGTTATTTAAAAATATAGTTATAAAAAGCCTTTTTTCTCTTTTTATAACCTTTTGCTAACTTTAATAACTTTTTATTTATATATCTTATTAAAAAAATAAAATTTTCTAACTAATAATAGTAGCCCGCTTATTATTATTAAAATAATCGCTACGACCGACCTACTACTTATTCGAACTTACTTAATATTATACTATAATTAAAATATAACGATTACTTCTTATAATTATTTTCTATTATATACCTTACTAAATATACTATAATAACTACTAGCCTTAGTAATAAGTAAAAAAGGGCCGATAACTAGTTAATATTATTTTAAACCTATTTATATTTTTAAATTACGGAACTATACCTAATTCTAACTCGCTAATAAGATTACGTTAACTTAACTTAATAGGGCTTATTTAATATTATACTTACCCTTATAAACGATAAAAAGCTTAATACCTTTGTTTTTTATATAATAGGATTTTATTATTAAAATAGCTTAATAAGTAAGGAGCTATAAAAGGATTTTAAAACTAACTTTTAAAACTAAGAAGTAGGGGACTTTTTAAAAGTTAAAAATATAATTCTTAAAAAGCTAAGAAACTTTTTTATAAATAATAGTATTAACTTAACGATTAGGGATCGTAATTAAATAATAAATAAAATTACTAGCGCCCTTAATACTTAGTACTTCTTTACCTAGACTTTTAAAAAGATTATAGCTTACTATAGTTATACTAAATACTTTAATATATTATACTACGATTCTTATTTTTTTTATTTACTACTCTTATAATTAATAAATACTAATAATCTTATTTAATAAGCTAGAGAAATAGTAAGGGAGTCTATATAAACCTAGCTAGCTTAATTAAAATAATTAAAATTACGACCTTAGCTTCGTTACTAACTATTTAACTTACTACCTCTTTAAAAAGAAAAAAAAAAAGAACTAAAGAATAAAATTATTATTACTTAATAGCGAAATTTATCCCGTTAAATATTATACTTCGATATAGAAACTAAAAATAATATTATACTTAATACCCGCTAATTAATTAACCTTACTAAGCTTTATAATAATAAAAATAAATATAGTAATAAAAAATATAATATTTTTAATAAAAAGCTTTAGATTTTTAAAGTACTATATTAATAAATAAGAATTAGTAAACGGTACTATTCTAGTACTTTTCTAAATATACTTAAAGAAAGGGCGTTAACTTTTTATTTTAACTAACTTAGTAATACCTCTAATTTACTTAGTTTTAACGTAATATACTAGAGGACCTAAGAATATTTTAAACTACTTATAAGTTATTAAAACTACCTCGCTAAGCTCTATAACCTCTATTAGTACTTTATAATTTATAAAAATTTAAATAAGTCGAACTAATAAATCTTATAAGCGCTTATTAACTATATTGTAATTTTTTATAAAGCGCTAGCTATATAAGGATCTATTTTTAATATAAGTAACTAACTTTTCTATTATATAAGTAGTATATTAGAATATAAACTTACTATACTTAACTTAGTACTTACGTTTATTAGTATTTATTACTAGCTTAGTACTTCGATTAATATTATAAAAAAAGAGCGCAACTATAATAAGTAGTAATAATATTTTTAAAATAGTACTTATAATAAAGAGGTCCCTGCTACTTACTAAACTAACCGTACTTATAATAGCTTTAATAAAGAGACCTAATTTAATAAGTAGAATTAACATAGCCGTAGTACTACTAATAAAAAGTACTTTATTTATTATAAAACCGGTTATTAATTAACTAAGTATTTAAAAAAGGAGCGACGTTAAGTATATTAAAAATATAAAAATAGTAAAGAAAAAAATAAAAGATTTATACTAAGCTTATATTTATAATTCTTTATTTTTTATAAAGGAACTACTCTTATTAATAACGATAACGATAATAATACTATAATCTAATACTTTAATAGCCTCGATTTTAATTATAAAAATAATTACGAGGACGAAGTCTAAATCTTAATAATATACTTTACGATTATTATTAATAATAGAACTTTTATAAATATCCTTGCTACTTAAGTAATAAAATATAACCTTATTAATATTACTTTTATTAACGAGTTAACTAAGCTTATAGAACTAATAACCTCTTTTTTATTAAATAAGAGGTACTTATTAAGGGATTTTTAAAATATTATACTTAATACTAGCGCTACGGAATTCTTAATTATGGGCTACCCTTAACTCCTTATATTATAATAATAACGACTTAGAGTTATTTTTAATATTTTTAGAGCTAATAAAGTAAGTATCCGTTTTAATAATAGTAAACTTATAAGGTCGTTAGGATTTACGGTCGTTAATACTTTATTTAATAATATTACTTTTTATATTTTACTAATTAATACTCTTTTCTTATGCTACTTAAGGGATATAAATAAGCTAGGGGTATATTTTAATAATATTAATAATTTACTAATTAAGGGAGATATTATAGTACTTATTTTTTATAAATAGGGATACCCTTAGCTCTTATTTTTTAATAATAAGAAAGCTATTATTAATTACTTAACGGAGGGCGAATTATACTACTTATATTAGTACTTTAGCTACTCTTTAGTTCCTTATTTTTTAAAGTTATTTTAATAATTTAGTAATAATATAGAGATCGTAACCCTTAAGAAGCTTACAAAGATCTATTAATAATACTAACTTAACGTTACTACCCCTAGCCAATTTAAATTTACTTTACGAAATAATTACAATTTTAATTACGAAATCGTAATTAATATAATATATTTAATAAATTATAAGGGTATTAACTAACTAGTACTTTATATTATTAATATTACTATTTTTTTTTAAATAGTAAGGTTTTTCGTAGATATAATTACGAAGTATATATAAGAAGCGCTTTAGCTATATTAAATTAATATTTATTTTAGTCCGCTAGATTAGATTATTATAGATATTAATAAGAATTTTAGTACTATAGAGTTTAAATTTTTTACTAAATTTATATTTATTAAAGTTAAAGAAGTGCTTATTAAAGCTTATAATAGTATTAATAAGGCTAAGAAATATTACGTAGTATTTAAAAAGGTATATAATATTATTTAAAATAAGTACTTATTAATAAGCGCAGAGGCTATATTTTAAGTTATAATTAAAGTAGTTAATAATATAATTAGCCTAAATAGCTTCGTTCTTATACTCCTTATTTTCGGAGCTTTTTTATATATTTCTAACGAGTTTTTATCGTTACTAAATATTACTTAATATATAAAAGTAATTAAGAAAGTAATAAGGGAAGTCCGTAAACTTTATATTAATAAGTAAATAAGTAAAATACTAGCTACTTAAAATAGACTAAATATTTTTTATATTATTAATTTATTACTATAATTAGATATTAAAATTTAGTAAGAAAGTAAGGGATAAAAAGGCCTATTTAAGCTCGTTTTAATAAGTAGTATTATTTACGTAATAGACTTATTTTATAGCTTAATAAGCTTTTAGGCTATTATAATTAAACTTTAGTACTTAGAAGAGGTCGACTTTAAGTTACTAACTACGATAATAAAGCACGTTAACTACTTATTAATCCCTATAGTTAATTA